GTGTTTGCATGTAATGTTTGTGTTTGCAAGGGTGTGTTTGCATGTTGTGTTTGATTGCTGGGATGTATGCACATACATTCACATATATACATACACATTATGACACAGTTACACACTGATACATGTACACACTGACACAAACAGACTTGCGTATACACAGACACATACATACACACATAAACTCAGATTCACACACTTTGATAAAACACTGGCATATCCACGCACAGGGATACACACTTACACACACTGACACAGATATGTACACACATTAAGATACACACAGACACACAGACACACATACACAGAGGTAGACATGCAGGGGTGTATTTGTGTGCAGTGTTGGCGTAGGAATGCTAGGATGTATGCATTGCCACACACTCAGATGCACACTACAAACAAAAACACAGATACACCTGCAGTGGTGTATTTATGTGCATTGTTCGTGTTAAAATGCAGGGGTGTATTTGTGTGCAGTGTTAGCGTTGGAATGTAGTAGTGCATTTGTGTGCATTGTTGGTACTGGAATGATGGGATGTATGCATTGCCGCAAGCATAGATACACACTTACACACATTGACACACATATACACACACAGCTACACATACACAGACATGCAGATACACATACAAAATGACACACAAGTACACATACACAAGTATACATACACACAGATACACATATACACTGACACACAGGTACACATACACACTGATACAAAGATACACATACACTGACAAAAAAACAGCCAGATACACACACTGACACTCACACAGTTAGATATAGACACTGACACAAACAAAGTCAGATACACACATACAGTCAGATACACACAGTAAAACAAACAGCCAGATACACACTAACACAAACACAGCCAGATACACACAGCCATATATACACACACTGACACACACAGTCATATACACACACACAGCCATATACACACACTGACACACACAGCCAGATACACCCATACGGTGAAGTATACACACTGACAAAAACACAGGCAGATACACACACTGACACAAACAGCCAGATATACACACACTGACACACACAGCCAGATACACCCATATGGTGAAGTATACACACTGACAAAAACACAGGCAGATACACACACTGACACAAACAGCCAGATATACACACACTGACACACACAGCCAGATTCATACACACACACACACACACACACAGATATATACACACTGACACAAACACACAGCCAGATATGCACACTGACTCAGACACAGGTACATACACATATAAATATCAATTGACATAGTTAAGCCAGACTTTACAGGAGGGTGGCTTTCCTGGGGTCCAGTGGGAGCTGGATGGCCGAGGTTGAACCTGGCTACCTCAGTCCCTCTCCTCCTGTGCGTGCATCCTCCTCCTCCATGTGTGCCTCCTGCTCCACAGCGGCACTCTGTTACTTGGGAGGAAGTGATCTCACCTCACTTCCTCCCAGCAGGCAGGAAGACATGGGCCCGATCCAAAGCACTCTTAAAGGCTACTTCACCTGCTGCAGCCCACTGGGAAATTTCTCAGTATCCCAGCGAACTGTCTGTTCCTGATTGGGGGTGCACAGTGGGCCCCCAAGGAGTAACTTGGCCAGGAAAGCTGCCCAGTTCTAAAGACTGCCATGATAGTGAGCAGGAATTACAAGGAAGCACGTGAAAATGGTTTACAGCATTGTTGTTCAGGGCATTGAGATAATTGTAAAGCCCCTACGGGGTGGTGACCTCTTTCATGTTCCCTCCAAAAGGGAAATGTTCCTGAATTTTTGTCTTGGAACCAGGGCTTCCTATGGATTGAATGTGGAGTGGAACATTTCCCATCAACTTTGATGATTTGATTTGTGTTATTACATGAATATGTGTTTTATACCTGAAGTGTGATTACATATAAATAATTTATTTATTATTTTTTGTAAATTTTTATTTTTGCAGTTCTGAGATGTATACAATCTCCCGTCTTGTCCCAACAACAAGAACAGGCTTATGCAAGAACTCAATTATACATATAGCTTGATAACAGGATATGAGATTCAGAGATTAGTTATATACAATAGTGATTGAACAGCACAATTTTATAGAAGAGGGAATAACAAAGCATGTTATTGAATGCTACATAACTCTACGCTAGTTAGTCAAGAGTAACAGTAATAGAAAGACAAGATATTTCAAGATAGGCAAACAGGCATATCATCGCATTGCACATTTTATATTATATATTATAATGTTATTGATGCATAGCAAACGTACTGCCTTTTGGAGGTATTATGAGGTCGCAAGCCTAAATGAGGCATGTTTTGTCTGCGCGTTTCATAAAATAACAAGGTTTGATATTACTAAGGATTAACTCCTTATACTTTTTAGGGGGCCTCCACCCTATGGCGGACTCAGGTTCTCAAAGAGCTGGGGTGTGAAACTGTATATATATCAGCAGGATTTCACATTATGAAAAGGCAGAAACTGAAACAAATAAACATAAGATTAAATAATCATCAAGCAGCATGTTTTGGTAGGGCTTTGGCCCCTTTACTGCTTAGACCAGTGACTCGAGACCACCCTCCCCGTCTGCACTCCCTTCCGGTATCCCTCCCATCCCATAGGGGTCCTATGCGATGTACATACGTCAGCAGTCTCTGGAAGTCAGCTTGGTAAACGACTGTCAGCTACTGTGTCTAAATGTCCCTATAAGTCTGAGAGCTGTCTTGTGCCGCAAATGTCAGTTCCTCAAGTCGTCTGAGTGCCTCCATCTTATCAAACCACACTGTCAAGGGAGGGGGCATCTCTTTTTTCCAGAACAGAGGCAGCACTTGTTTGGCAGTGTTCTGAATTCTAACCATCAGGGGTTGGCGTGGTAGTGTTGTTTAGATTTCACCTATTGCCTGCCAAAAAGGTGTTACCCTAGGGCATTCCCACCAAATGTGCAGGAACATTCCAGTGCTGGCCCCACAGTGCCAACAATCATCTCTCAGGGCTGGATTCAATACCTTAGAGCTTGTGGTGCCCTATACCATAATGACAAAACCTTATGGGCCGTCTCCTGTGTCTTACTTGCTAATGCACAGTGATGTACTAGGTCACACATATTGCCCCACTGCTGGTCTGTGAAAGTTTCCCCTAGCAAAGTTTCCCATTTGCCCATGTACGCGGGAAGAGGGAGGTTTCTATTTTGTAGGAGTAAGGAGTATAGATAGGATACCACATGCGGTAGTGGGTCCGGGTCATTGCCAAATATTTTTTAAACAGGGTTAGTGCCTTAACCAAGTTGGGTTTTTGTGGGATGTGGTTTATGAACTGTTCAGTTGTTCACACCTCAATCCCTGAAAAAAGTGTGGTGTGCACCATCTACAAGTTCACAGAGGGGTTTATGTTCCCCCCCAGCAGGTGCCGGTCTTGTACTTGTGGCTGCGGAAGAAAGTATGTGAACGCTTTGTCCTCTGTTCCAGGGGCAAACTTTGGGTTATGTGTCAGAGGGTAGAGGGGGGAAGGGAAGGATGAGAGCTCCATTCTCGCTGCGGTCCTATGTCAGACGTCTAGGGTGGTCTGTACGTAAGGTTGATGGTGTGAAAGTTTCCTGCTCGCTGCCGGATGCATCCATGTGAGCGCCTTCAGAGACCCTCCCTTCTGGGATTGCTCAATGTCTTTCCACATGTTGGATACTCCATCCTTGACCCACTCCAACACTCTCGGTAGGTGGGAGGCCCGGTAGTATAAATGGAAGTCTGCTACCGCCAGCCCCTCCTTCAGTCTTTGGTCTCGTTAGTAGTTGGTATGCCAACCTCGGCTTGTTTGAGCCCCAGATGTATCTGATTATCATTGACCTGAGAGATGTGAAGAAAGCTGTTGGAATAGGAATAGGCAGCGTTTGAAATAGATAGAGGATGCGTGGTAGCAAGTTCATTTTCATCACTACAGTACGCCCCAGCCAGGATATGTGTGGCCCACTCTTCCAGGTTCTTCTTAAAGATCTTCAGCATGGGCGTGAAGTTAGCATTACACAACTGAGAAAGGTCAACAGATTCTGAGGTATTTGATCGCCTCATCCGCCCAGTGGAATTGAAAGCATGGGTGTAGTGCTGAGGCCCTTCTGGTCGGCACCGTGACATTCAGTACTGTAGATTTAGAGTAATCGATCTTGAAATGCATTATATTGGGAAGGGTCGTCTCTGGCAATGAAACGAGAAGTATCAGGTCATCCGCGTATGTGTCCACCTTATGCGACATGGGTTCCACTCTGAGTCCCTTGATGTCGGCGTTGTGTCTCACAGCCTGGAGGAACAGCTCGAGGGCAAGAACAAAGAGCAGTGATGACAGCGGACAGCCCTGTCTGGTGCCATTGTGGATCTCGACTGGGTCGGTGAAAACCCCGTTAATACAGATCTGTGCCGTGGGGTTATTGTACAATGCTGTGATTCAGGTGTGCATCTTGGGACCCATTCCCAGTGCCTGAAGAGTGCGAAAGAGGAATTCCCAGCTTACTCCATGGAGAGTAGTAGAAGATCCTCCCCAGTTCTCTGGGCTTGATGAATCAGCGCCAGTACTATCGTGGTATTATCTCTAGCTTCTCAGTGAGGGACAAAGCCCACTTGGTCTGGTTTTACCAGCATAGGTATGTAAGGTAGCAGCCTTGTAGCCAAGATTTTAGTAAAGAACTGCAAGTCGCAATTCAGAAGGGAGATCGGCCGGTAATTAGCGCAATGCTCCAAGTCTTTGACTTCCTTGGGTATCAATGTGATGTTAGCCGTCAATGTCTGGAAGGGGATCCTCTGACCATGGGTGAGCTGTACGCCTCTAGGAAATGTGGAAACAGTATGCCTGCGAATTGCTTATAGTAACGGACCGTGAGCCAGTCCAGGCCTGGGTTCTTGCCCGGTTTCGTAGCTTTGACCGCTGCTGCCAGTTCTTCCATTGTCAAGGGAGCCTCCAATGCTACAACCGCCTCTGTCGGTAGTGTCGAGAGGACATTGTCCCTGAGATTTGAGTGTCCTGGCGCATGCTGTGGGAGTCCGGTATGGGTTTTTTCAAACACAGTGGAGAAATGTACCCACGAGCCACATGGGCTATTCTGTCAGGTGGTCACTGTGGTTGGCCTTGGATATCCCGTAGGCAGGCTATATACGACTTATTTCTCTTTTTGTTGAGAATGCGGGCAAGCAGTTTGCCACATTTATCGCTATTAACGTAGAAATAGGCTTTGATATGGAGTAGTGTTCATTGCAGGTGATGGTGGAGGTGCGTAGGTGGAAGGTGGTCAAGTTTTGGTCTGCCTTATGTGCCATTTCCAGTTCTTGGATTTGATCCGTGAGCTCTCGAATTTCTGCTTCCTTGAATTTTTTTCAAGGCTGTGACCCTAGCTATGAAGAATCCCCTTATGGTGCACTGGTGGGCTTGCAATACCACTGGGGCTGGAATGTCAGAAGTCACATTTTCATTAAGGTATTGAGTCAGGGTGATGGTCGGGTCTAGGAGGAGGAGCAGGTCAGAAAGGAGTGTTTCATTACACCCTGTTCCAAATTATTATGCAAATTCTATTTAAGTGTCACAAAGATTAAATATTTTGTTTTTCAGTTTAACTCATGGATGGCATTGTGTCTCAGGGCTCTTTTGATCACTGAAAACAATCTCGGACACCTGTGATAATTAGATTGCCAGGTGAGCCCAATTTAAGAAAAAACTACTAAAGGAGGGTGTTCCACATTATTGAGCAGAGCACCATTTTCATGCAATATGGGGAAGAAAAAGGTTCTCTCTTCTGCCGAAAAGAGTGAAATAGTTCAATGCCTTGGACGAGGTATGAAAACATTTCACAAAAACTTAAGCGTGATCATCACACTATTAAGAGATTTGTGGCTGATTCAGAGCACAGACGGGCTCGTGCAGATAAATGAACATTGAGGAAGATTTCTGCCAGATCCATGCATCGGATCAAGACAGCAGCTGCTAAAATATCATTACATAGCAGCAAACAGATATTTGAAGCTGCTGGTGCCTCTGGAGTCCCACGGACATCAAGGTGTAGAGTCCTCCAGAGTCTTGCAACTGTGCATAAACCTTCTATTCGGCCACCACTAACCAATGCTCAAAAGCAGAAATGGCTGCACTGGGCAGAAAAATACATGAAGACTAATTTTCAAACAGTCCTGTTCACTGATGAGTGCCGTGCATCCCTGGATGGTCCAGATGGATGGAGTAGTGGATGGTTGGTGCGACGGCAACAAGGCTGCAACATCAGCAAGGCGTGGAGTCATGTTATGGGCCGCAATCATGGGAAGAGAGCTGGTCGGCCCCTTTAGGGTCCACGAAGGTGTAAAGATGACCTCTGCAAAGTATGTGGAGTTTCTGACTGACCACTTTCTTCCCTGGTACAGAAGGAAGAACTATGCTTTCCATAATAAAATCATATTCGTGCATGACAATGCACCATCTCATGCTGCAAATAATACCTCTGCATCAATGGCTGCTATGGGGATAAAAGGAGAGAAAGTCATGGTGTGGCCTCCATCCTCCCCTGACCTCAATCTTATTGAGAACCTTTGGAGCATCCTCAAGCAAAAGATCTATGAGGGTGGGAGGCAGCTACATCTAAACAGCAGCTCTGGGAGGCTATTCTGACATCTTGCAAACAAATTCAAGCAAAAACTCACAAGTTCAATGGATGCAAGACTTGTGAAGCTGCTATTAAATAAAGGGTCCTGTGTTAAAATGTAACGTGACCAGTTAAAATGTTTAAAAAGTTAAAATGTTGTTATAAGTTTGATTGAAATAGCTTTTGATTTCAGTAAATATGCTGCAAACACAACAAATGACAATTTTCAGTTCTTTACAACCTATAAAGTGTTTTGAAACTTACTGTGCATAATAATTTGGAACAGTACATTGTAAGTTTATTATGTTTTAAAAAAAATACTGTTATTAGGAGGTTTGTTCAATAAAATTTGAATTGTACTCTTAATAGTTGATAACATAAGAATTATGCTGACTGTTATTTACATCAATTATTTAGGTAAATTAGAAAAATATCATTTGCATAATAAATTGGAACAGGGTGTAAGTCGCCAATGAGTGGCCCGTGGTCTGGATAGAGGGGAGGATACGGTCAGCAATACCAGGGCATGGTCCATCCAAGTCATCACACCTATGTCAGCCCTATGTACCTGAGATAGATAGTATTGCGGGATAAAAAAGTAATCCAGCCGTGAGTATCTAGTATGGGGTATGGAGTAATGAGAGTAGTCCCTACCTGTGGAGGTGTCAACCCGAGGATTCAGGGCAATATTAAAGTCTCCCCCAAGGATCATGAAGCCCTCTGTAAATGTCATAAATTTTTTAATTGTACGCTGCAAGAACTTCCCTTGTCTGGAATTCGGTGCATAGATGTTGGCCAGCATGTATGTCTGCACCAGAATAGACCCTTTCCCGAATACATAACAATCCTCCTTTCCTACAAGCGTGCCCCTTTGTTGGAAAGGGATTGACTTATGAATGAGTATTGCGGTCCCTTTAGATTTACTCTTGAGATTATTTCCATAAAAGCATTGAGTGTAAATGTGATTGGTCAGTTTCGGGGCGGTACCCTCTCTGAAATGAGTTTCCTGGGCTATGTGGGAGTGTTGTTTCTTAAAATCCCTCAGGGCAAGTGTACGTTTCTCTGGGGTATTAAGGCCTTTTGCGTTGATGGACATAAGTTTCAAGGCCACTGGGGAGAAGGGGGTAGCAGTGTGGCCATTATCTGAGATTCCAGCAGGGATAATGCGGTCCTGTTTGCCTAAAGGGTCTTGAGTCACCGGTCACCTCCCAATTGCAGATCTGAAGCATGGATGTAGTAGGTGGCAAGGGTGACTGAGCCGGTCAGGCCTCTGGCCCAGACCAGCTGGTTGGGAGGAAACACGCCCGCTCAAAATCTGTCACTAAAGCCCAAAAATGGGGGGGATGAGGTCGACAGTGGACCAGAAATATGAGGAGAAATTGATTTAGATTCGTAATTCTCCACTTTTTCCACCTCGGTAAAGAGTAGCAAGCGAACCTGTATAAAAATCCTATACAACATAAACTCTAAAGCGAATAAATCCCACAACCTGTAAAGTAAGTGGGGTAGCGAGGGGGAAGCAGTTCGGCTGGTAGCAAAAAAGAAAGTCATGTATAACGGTGTGTATGGTGGGAAAAATCACCACCATCCGGGACACTCACGGCACCATTTCATGCTGGGTTTGGTTGCCCCAGTGTCAGGCCAAAGTATGAGCAAGATCCATGAGAGCTTGCACTGGTAGGTTTTTGTCTCCTACAGGTACAGTCCCAAATCGTTGATCGAGGAGGTGCCTAGGCTTGTTCGCGGCAGTGTGGAGTTCGGCATCATCCGCTGTACCCTGGGACCCGGTCCAGGTAGGATGTTAGGGAGGGAGGGGGAGAGAGAGAGGGATAAGGGAAAGAGAGAATGAGAGGGGAGAGAGAGAGGAGGGGGAGGGAGAGAGAGGGTGAGAGGCGGGAGAGAGAGGGGGCGATAGAGATGGGAAAAGATGGGGAGAGAAAGGGAGAGAGGGGTGTAAAAGGGGAGAGACAGAGGATGGGAAAAAAGCAGAAAGAGGGAGAAAGCGAGAGGGGGAGAGAGCAAGAGGTGGGGCAAAAGCGAGGGGGGAAAGAGCGAGGAGGGGGAGAGAGAAAGGAGGGAGTGACAGAGAAAGGGGGATGTGAGAGAGAAAAGGGGAGGGGTGGGAGAGAGGGAGGGGTGAGAGAGGGAGGGGGAGAGGGGATTAGGATAAACGTAAAATCAGATGAGGATTCCAGCGCCACCCAATGGATGCAGGAGCAGGTCAGCAAGAAGAAGCCACTGGCAGGTAGAGCTGTACGGAGAATTCTTACGAATCCCGTGCACTGCAGGACCAGCAGCTCGTATAGTCATGGTGCGGGGCCTCCAGTCTTTCTGGGTTAAGGTTATCGGCCTCATCAGGTCAGATAGGTAAAATTCAATTGGGTCTGGCCATCTCAGGTTTAATGGGGGTGGCGAGATCCCGGACTCCAAGGGCAGGTAGTCCGCGTGGGTGCAAACCACCACCGGATCCCCCGGCGTGTTCACCAACAGGCCTGTCGGGAACAGCTATCTGTACCTGATGTCCTTGGACTGTAGGGTGTGGGTAAAATGCCTTAGGATCCTCCTGTAGCGCAGCGTGGCCAGTGACAAATCTGAGTAAAGCTGTAGCTCGGCCCTGCCAATACCGGAGTGTCTCGATCTCCCTTGCAGCATACCAAGCAGCATACCACATCCCGCGGTGGTGCATCCGGGGGTCCCCTCGGGCGGATGGCACTGTGGGCCAGTAGTGAATTAGTGAATTTGTAAATACTGATTTTCTATTTACCCATATAGCGGAGCCAAGCCTTATTCATTCTAATGGACATCAAATAGGTAAAGTATTTTGTTCAAATTCCCTAATCACATCACATATGTGCTTTAGATTGCTACTTAGCAGCTGTGATAACAGAGTAAGAGTTCCATTTAGATCTACCTCTATGCTCTGTTTTTCTTTATATTTTCAGAGATGTTGTTTTATGCATTTGCATGTACATTTTGGATTAGGTTTTTCTTTTTATTATTATATTTTTAATTGTAAAAGTAAGCTGGCAGTTTTGCATTAGCAATGAAGTCTAGTTAACGTACAAAACATGTAGACTATTGTTTATTCTGTATATCGCTGCCCTGTATGCTGACCGTTGTTCCACAGGTTTTTAAAACCCATATGTGGGTTTTAAGTGTTTTCAGAAAGTTGAAATTTTCCAAAACAAGGTCATAGTAGAATTCACAGTGACAATTTTTAAATCTTCCTTTGACTCAGCAGAGACGTGACCTCATTCTTGGGTATGTTTCACAAGGGAAACATGTCCTTCCTCACTGCTACTTCTCTTTTCTATATTTTTATCTTTTACTTTTGTAGGTTCAACATTTTCTTAAGGTAATCTACATTTGTCTAAATGTTTTTCTACCGTCACTCCTCTCACACCTAGCCTCTATGAAAATTCTTACATTGACTCCCTGTACAGTGTAGGATTCAAAATACTAACCCTCTCCTACGAGGCTCTAAATAACTCTACACTCCTTTACATTTCTTCACAAATTCATAAGAATGCCCTTTCTTCATCTCTCCGCCTGTCCAGTCAGTTAATAAGATAGAAACAGAATACCTATCCCTATTGCATATTTGTAGACATAAGGTCATATAAAAAAAAGAGAGAAAAATACAAACATAGT